AAGGTGCTTCAAAAGGTTCTTCAAGCGATGCCATAGAAGAACCATTTTTGGTTCCACAAAGAACCATTCAGTCAAAGGTTCTTTAAAGAACCATCTCTTTCTTACCTTTTTGTAATCTGAAGAACCTTCTTTCGCCACAAAGAACCTTTTGTCAAACAGAAAGGTTCTTCAGATGTTAAAGGTTCTTTAAGGTACCATTTAGACAAAAAGGTTCTTCTATGGCATCGTGAAACACCTTTATTTTTAAGAGTGTATATATATTATAAAACTATTCAATTCATAAGGATCTTTCTGTACTTTTTGAAGCATGCAAAGCGTTTCCATGGACTTTCAATGGATGGGCAAAAACGATGAGAGAACATTAAAAATCATCTTCATCAGTGTTGCAAAGATGAACGAAAGTCTAAAGGGTTTGGAACGAGTAATCCATAAATGATGAGAGAACTAACCCTTTGACATGATTTTAGTGGGAAAAAGAAATCTCTTATAAACCCTTTCTGCGTAAAGTTCCACCCAAGTGTACGATGTTTTCATGACAGCAGAACATCATAAACCCTAAAACTCTTAAAACCCCTAAAACTGTTGTAAAACTGATTATTGAAGGAGATTTACAGCTCAAATAATACACACGTTTTAACAGAAGAATCAAAGCAAGTACTTTTGTAAAACTATAAACTTTAATATTATAATATGGCCCCATCACTTCCGTTATCTCCGCTATTTATTTTAGTTAGTTAGTTAGTTAGTTAGTAAGTAATTACCATCATGTCAAAAATGTAATCCCAACCTACTAAAACATAGTAGACATCCCATAGCAAAAAACATCCCATAGACTTGCACTGATAGAGGAACCCAAGCCATATCGAGTCCTGAATATCACTGAGACTTGGTGAGCTGTAATGGCAAATAAGAAATAAGCATACTTAAAAAAATAAAAATACTCTAACGACCACATAGCGACACCCTGGCAACCACTCACCAGAGCCTGTGTTCTCTTCACAGGCAAACACCCCTGATATTTAACAAATGAGTTTACATTATTGTCACTTTTATTGATCAGACAAAATCCCACTGCAATACAGGCCATTTTTGAGTGGACTAATATCGATTGGTGTTTAAATATGAATAAGCTTCTAAAAGGCTTTTGAGGCTTTAGAATACGATGAAGCCATTTTCACATCTTCAGTTCAGACAGAATATAGTCATCTTCCTGGATTGTGTCTTTTTGTGAAAATCTGAGCAAGGACAACACCGCTTCAATAAAAACGAGAGGACAATGTGCAGGTTTTAGGGGCCCATTGACGTCCGTGGGGTTACCGGCTCACAGAAAAACAAATCGCAAGCTCTCGCTCACAGCTGAGGCCATTGCTCAAAACAATGGGAGAACTCAGTAATGGTTACAATAATTAAATGCATGTGGATGAACTGTAAATCATACAGCCGGTTATTTTTAAACAATATTCATCAATATTCTCAAGGGAGGTGAATTCAGAAAGGTCATAAAATCTCTCATTATCAAAGACCTTGGTAATGTGCTCATATGAACATGAAGACCAGGAAATTAGATATGACGAATCTTAGTAGATTAGAGGAAGACTGTCCCTCTCTCTCTCTCTCTCTCGCTCTCTCTCTCATTGATCAGAAGGGTCTCCCGCCCCCACAGCAATCGCTGCTACTCATGAAACACTCTGAAAGGAACCAAATGCTCTTGAAATGCTAACAAATCAAGGTCATTTTCATTAAAATGTATCCACAGTTACACAATGATTACACAATAATACAGAACATGTAACTGTGACATAACCTGACTCAACATCATCACCACAAGCATTCCCTGAAGAAATGCTAACATCTAAATTAACCAGATTATAATAATATTTAACAAACGAATCAACATAAATACATTAATTAATACCAGCAAAACTCTCATGTTTCTCATAATTTTCATGGTTCAGTGGATCAGGTAGAAACTGTTATCTTAGTACCATTGATATACTATTATAATTTTTGTTAATATTTCGAATTAGATTCTATTTTTTATATATTTTCTGCTTTCGTGTTAATTTCTTAAAGTTTTTGTAATTTTAGTTTTGTTTTTATATGTGTCCATATTTTTTTATAATTTTTTTATATATTTTTTTTTATCTTATTAATGTTTTTTTAAGATGCCCTTGTTACAGTGTAATTACACAAATAAGTATTAAATAATATTAATGAACAACATGTATGCACGTGTTAGGGATAGGGTGTTAGGTTTATTTGTTTGTAAATATGCATTATTTGCTGTTATTATCATAGTAAGTACGTGTAACGTGTAACAAGGACACCATAAAATAAAGTGTTACCCCACTTTTTACAATGTTCATATGCTTGCATTCTTCCAGTTATTGAAAAATAAAGGTCAATCTCATGAAATCTTTCAAAAACATGATAATTTTGGATATTATAACTAATCCTGATTTTAGTTAAAGAAAAAGACCAAATAAAAATAAAACAAACTATTGTATTATATTATTTTTATTATTTTCATTTTTATGAAAATTATATAATAAAACTATATATATATATATATATATATATATAATATGAATATTGTATTCTTAGTAATGTATTACACAACTGAATGAATACTTTAAATCAACCTCTAACAACCACAACAGACACACACACAACAATATAATAAAACAAAACACAATTTACATAATGTATTACACCAGTGAAATAAATGAATCCTTAAAACCAACCTCTGACAATACACCCTAGTAAATACAGTTCTTCCATCAGGTGACGTAAAAGGACACATACACAGTGCAGAATTATAAATCACAACAGCACATAAAATCTCAATCTCATTTGTTTTGTTCATGTAAACAGGTAAACCGTATGCTGGGTTTCACCCCACAGCATAAGCAGAATATAAATATTTCATGTCATCAATGTTAGCTGTGATTTGCAATCAGCAGATGCGTTTCTTCTGTAGTGCACTAATAGCAGGCCATATATATTCATGTTTATGATCATATTTGATATCGATATACCACTTCTGTGATGTTAAAAGTATGTTACAATTACAGAAAACATTGTGGGACAAGTATGTTACATTACGACAATGCTAACTATATTACCACTGCTCTAAAGAAGCAGAAAAAATTGTTAAGATATATATAAATTTCATATCTGGGACTCTTTATTTCTCTTGATTGTTGAGCAGTTATACAGTCAGAAGGGACATAAATTCAATATTTATTCAGCGCTTTTTGAAAGGCCTCCGAAGGCTTTTGTTGGGTGATCAAATTAATGAAATAATATGTTGATTTTCTAGGTTTGGGTCCCCGAGAACAGTCACTGAGACTAAGAGAATATTTACTACTTCCTTTTGGGACTCTGGGGTTGTATTTATTTGTATTTTTTACGCTGGCGGCTTTGTAGTTTGCGTGGCTTCCTGGCGTGGCTTTTCCACAGAGAGCTCGACCACATTTCAATATCTCCTGTGAGAATCGTCTTCTTTATTGTCTGCTCTCATGAGCTAACGCTGCTCTAGGAGAGAAATCCTGTTTATTAAGAAACCCTCCAGCAAAGAGAGCCGTTTCTGAGCACTTAAAGAGAGACACGTGTAGTGCTTGTGCGCGCAGTCTATTTAACAGCAAAACACATCGGTATAACAAGCAATACTCTACATTAATGTGCTCATGTTACTTATATTACATGCTATTATAATTCATAATAATAATAATAAAAAACAACAAGAACCATGTGTAATTAAAAGCTGCTCAAATAATTAATGATTAATTACATGTTGTCCAGTAGTATTACTCAGTGCTTAACTATACACTCTAAAAAATGCTGGGTTAAATACAACCCAGTGCTGGGTTAAATAGGGACAAACCCAGCAATTGGGTTGTTTTGACCCAGCGGTTGGGTTACTACCCAGAAGGTTGGGTAAAACATTTAAACCAACCCCTGGGTCAAAACAGCCCAATTGCTGGGTTTGTCCCTATTTAACCCAGCACTGGGTTGTATTTAACCCAGCATTTTTAGAGTTTATACTGACAGAAACATTAATGGAAAATGTGGCCATATCAATGAAGAAAAATAAATAAATATACACTGGTAGCAAAAATTTATAACACCACACCCCATACTCAATTGACCCTAAGTATATGATTAAATTAAGGTTTGTCCCAAAAAAAAAAAAAAATATATATATATATATATATATATATATACTTAAACGATCATTTGATTACTGCCTATGCACTTAACCTACATTAAGTGAACATTAAATCTATTGATATGTCATCATAAAACTGCTCCCCAGTGCCGTTAAAACAATCACCACATGTGACAGTGATCTGACACAGAGATGAAACACTCCACTAATACACAGATGCGCTTCAGCTCAGCCGAGAGGGGGCGCTGTTGAGTTTTGAAACCGCTTGTCCGCTCGCATGTAAGGGCCTCCCGGCCACGTTTTGTGGGACAGTGGAGAAAAAAGGAATCTAATAAATTAATATATTCACATTAAAACAACACAAAGACGCGTACTCTGTGGAAACCATATGGCCATTTTAATTGCTTTTAGTAGTTACATCTGTCGCTGATATATTCGTCGTGTACTTTTTTCTCTCCAATATGTCTGAGAAATATTAATAATAGCTCAAGCGATAACGTAGGCTAATTAAAACATTACTTGCGTGACATTTATGGACTTTAATATGGTCTAAATGTGGTTTCTTATAAGAGATTTGAATAATATTGTAGTTTAAACAAGCAGCCTAAGTGTAAATTACCTTTTTTAAGTTATTAATATATCACTTATGCATAAATCAGTATGATCATTGCATACTGTCAGATCGCTTTATTTTAAACAATAGGCAATGTGGGGGGGAAATGCAATGAATGAAAAGATGTGCAAAAGCTTTACCTGCTTTAAACGCCAAAGCCAAAAAATCGCTGTCCACAAAGAGTTAAAGTCGTCGTTTAGCTCTATCAGTTCTGACAGTTCGGGAAACTTTTGTTTCTTCTCTAGTATGTAAATTGACCGTCGGATTCAGCGAGCCTATTGGCTACGAGTCCGAGTCAATTTCGTATTTCAAACCTGACGTCAGGGCGGCTATAAAACTCAGCATTGCTTTTATACTCATATGCTCGGTGATCCTTTAAAAACTCTAGAACAAGCCCGGAGTACTTTTTTTTTTCTCTCCAGCCAAGCATCCAATTGCCAATCACATACATGTTACGGTCTTCATTTCAACGAAACTATTGAGAGAGAAAAAGAAAGAAAGAAAGAACAAATCCACGCAGCCATGCAGTGTTAAATGTTTGCGACTCAAACGCGTCGACACTCGCGCACGAAGAGAGAGGAACTGGAGACGCGCGCGCTCCTGCGTCTGTGCGCGAGAGGCGAATTAAAAAAATTATAATAAATCGGCGCTCGCGAACCCTTTTCTTTGCTTTTGAAGAATTAAAAAAAGAAATCAAGCTGGCTCACGCCGTCTCGAACCCGACCACTTTGACAGCTGCTCTTCACCCCCTTTGGAGGACTGTCAACAGCAAAAGGATGGCATCAGAACTGGCAATGAGCAGCTCCGACCTGCCCACCAGTCCCCTGGCCATGGAATATGTTAATGACTTCGATCTGATGAAGTTTGAAGTGAAAAAGGAGCCGGTGGAGCCCGATCGCAGCATCAGCCAGTGCAGCCGCCTGATCGCCGGGGGATCCCTGTCTTCCACCCCGATGAGCACGCCTTGCAGCTCGGTTCCCCCTTCTCCAAGCTTCTCGGCGCCCAGTCCGGGCTCCGGGAGCGAACAGAAGGCGCACCTGGAGGATTTCTACTGGATGACCGGTTACCAACAGCAGCTCAACCCGGAGGCTTTGGGCTTCAGCCCCGAGGACGCGGTGGAGGCGCTGATCAACAGCAGTCACCAGCTCCAGAGCTTCGACGGCTATGCTAGAGGGCAGCAGTTTACCAGCGCAGCCGGCGCGGGAGGCGCCATGGCCGGCGAGGAGATGGGGTCCGCCGCCGCGGTGGTCTCCGCGGTCATCGCGGCCGCCGCAGCCCAGAACGGGGCACCCCACCACCACCACCATCACCACCACCACCCGGGCGGGCACCACCCGACGCCCGGGCTGCAGTCCAACGGCAACTCCGCCAACCACCAGCACATGCACCTGGACCTGGACGATCGCTTCTCGGACGAGCAGCTGGTGACCATGTCCGTGCGCGAGCTCAACCGGCAGCTCCGGGGGGGCAGCAAAGAGGAGGTCATCCGGCTCAAACAGAAGAGGAGAACCCTCAAAAACAGAGGCTATGCCCAGTCGTGTCGCTACAAGCGGGTCCAGCAGAGGCACGTCCTGGAGGGCGAGAAGACCCATCTGCTGCAGCAGGTGGACCACCTCAAGCAGGAGATCTCCAGACTGGTGCGCGAGAGAGACGCGTACAAAGAGAAGTACGAGAAGCTGATCAGCAGCGGCTTCAGAGAAAACGGATCCAGCAGCGACAACAACCCGTCGTCCCCGGAGTTTTTCATGTGAGTTTACCGGCACATAATATAGAGCAGCGATGTGCAAAAGTTGCGTACGCGCGTTATTCTCTCGTTGTGTTGGATTGGGCGCACGCGGGGCAGTCAACTTTTCCTCTCACTTTTATTATTATTATAATTGTTTTTTTTTTTTAAATGTAAATACATTTAATCCAGTAATGAAGAAATCGAGCTTTAGAGCTTAGCCCACGCAACCTTTGCGCTCCGCTTTTGGACAATAATAAGACATTTTCCATCGCCGAGTTGTTATCATTTTGTTTGAAACTGTAATATGTGAACGTATACTTCCATTTGATACTTCCTCGTGTTGTCCTACGCCTCGTGTTGCGTAACTTTTAACTTCACATTTTTGTAAAGTTCAAGTGACACATGCTGGTTACGTGAGGGCACTGTACACTGGAAGCATGGAGAAGTGTTTGAACTCATGTCGAGTGTCTAAACAGACTCATTTCCCTCATAAACTGAGCGAGACTGACATTGTTTCATTCAAACTCCATCACATTTTGTGTTGTTGTGAAGAACTCACTCAGTATGTATTTATTTGTGTGTCGGACGCGATATGTCGAGCCCACATGCTGGTCATGTCGGCTGACGGTGTTTTGTGTTTCTTTTACCTGAACGAACTGAACTGAAATGCTCCGACGTTACATTCATTTTCTCATTGTCTGGTCCTGTCCACTTTTTTGGGACTCTGAGCAAAAAAGTGACATCTTTTCATCCTTTACATGAAACATTGCCTCCATGATTCTTGCGACAAACTCCTGTCATTTTTGTACAGCAATTTTAGTGATGAAACATGTGTTTTGGCAAGAAGAGTGATTCTGTATGATTATCCTTTTTTTTTTTTCGGACGAAGAGACATTATTAAACCCCTGAAACAATTGTAACTATCTCAGTGTGATACACTTAAGACTGAAAGATTAGCAATTTTGACAAATATGTCACTCCACATTGCTTGACCATAACATATGGTAAAACGAGCGATTTCGAACTGTTCAATGGACTAAAGGGTTTCTAAATTATTCTCAGAAGAATATTGAAGCCTATCAATGAAGAGTTTGTCTTGGCACGCGCTCGAAATACTGCACTCAAAACTGTTATTTTAGCATTTGCATCTAAATATAAATCAAATTATTATATGATAGAATATTGAAATATTTCGGAGCACGCTGCTTTAAAACATTTACTTGCATCAGGTGGGAAATAAGACCTTTAATAGTCCCAGCTTATACTTGTGCTACTGTTAATACAACGTTTTCATATTTGATATCGATTAATTCACAAAATAATGACTGTACAAACTGGAGCAGTTCATCAATAAATGTTAAATATTGCAAATCAAATGTCCTCGTGTTATTTAAGTACGCCTAAAGTGTGAGACTCCCACTGAATAGCTACAGTATTTAATATCACATGCTGATTGGGAAATTAAATACGAGTTTTATTTATTTTTAATGTCTGAGGAAAGTTCACGATTTCACTTGTTGCCGCGAGACAGTTCGCTCGAGTTTCGCCAGATGAGCAAATATACATCTTATTAAATCTGATTTGCTTACATTTTAATTGAACTGAAATAAGATATGACACATAAAATTATTTTTAGTTGAAAAAAGCCAACATAACATTGTATAAAGCAACATTCTTTGATAAACATGGCAAAATGCGCTCGCACTTTGCACTGCATGCGCTGTGTGAGTTTATATCAGAATAGTTCAATAATTCACTAAAGACAGATTCGATATAATATAATAAAAAAATCATTCACAAGCAAAAACTTATTTTTAAATAGCACTTGATTTCAGGAGCGAAACAGACCTTTTTTCCTCCCTTTCCGTTTTTAAAATTGATTTCTGTTCATGTTAAAAATCTCATTTCGAGCACCGCAGCTTAAACTCATCTTATCACACACGAGGACAGTTCAGTTTCGCTGCCCTGGTTAATCATTCATTTAGAGAGAGTTTATACTTGCTTAAACTGTCATTCAAATAACTGGTATATTCCTCAAAAACTGATTTTGACAAACAGATTCGCCTCTAAATCACTGGAGCTTTTCCAAAGTGCACCTAAAACTGACAGAACCTGCAAGTTCGATAACTGATCATGTTTCCTTTAGATAAGAATAACTTGACTGTGACCCTGTAGACTATTAACAATAACCTTTATTTATGTTCTACCAGTCACTCTTGACTACCAGTCAGGCCTATTTAGAAACAGCATTATACTTAGAGTTCATCAAAACAAACGAGTTGTGGTCTGTTCGTGTTTTCTAAAGCACAAAACAAAATTCACAAGTATGATTTGGCATTGTTTGTACGCCACAACCTCCACTTCTCACCCACCAAATACCCCTGAAGATTTCAAATAACACCCTGTTTCTCAATGTCACATCTCCTTTTTGTTTTCTCCACTCTTGACGTTTTCGGCTTCTTTATCTCTTTAGGCCCATCATCGTTCTCTCAAGCCATCACTATCATCAGCCCCAAAATAATTAGAAGAGTGAGTCAAGCTTCCCCTCTCATTGTCACAGCAAACAGGACGTGGGCACACAACTGGAAAGATGTGTGTGTGTGGGGGGACGTCTGAATTCAGGGCGTTCGGTGAAAACTTAGTGGCTCATCAGCACAATGATGATTCGAATATCAAACGGATGACGCACACACCCTTAAACGCACCGTGTTCAGAGCCCATCTTTCATTCGCTGGGCTGTGTGAGCTCAGGGAAAAGGCTGTATGGTCCACGCCGTGGAAAGCACAATGATTTCTTGCATGATTAATAGTGGAGAAAAGACCTTGTTTCTGCTCCTTTAAATTGATGAATCATTGGTGATTTTCCCCAGCTGGGTTTCGACTGCCTTTGAGTGGCTGCGGTGCCTGTAATTTATGGCTTTTCTGTTTGATGAGGTCAAAACGCAAAACCGGTTAATGACATCACCGTTATAACTCAGAACTGTAGACGCACACTGTACCAGACAGCAGGTGCAACGTGGACTCTTTTCTATTCCAGTTATTCATTTTATCATTATTATTTCTTTAATTTTTTTATTTTTTTTAAATATGCATCTAGTTACAGCTTTTTAGCCTGAGATTTTTTTTTAAATAAATGTTTATTATTATTATTATTATTATTATTATTATTTATCATTATTATTTCTTTAATTTTTTTATTTTTTTTAAATATGCATCTAGTTACAGCTTTTTAGCCTGAGATTTTTTTTTAAATAAATGTTTATTATTATTATTATTATTATTATTATTATTATTATTATTATTATTATTATTATTATTATTATTATTATTATTATTATTATTATTATTATTATTATTATTATTATTATTATTATTATTATTATTATTATTATTATTATTATTATTATTATTATTATTATTATTATTATTATTATTATTATTATTACTACCACTACCACTACTACTATTACGTATGGATTTGTTTTGGTCACACCGAATATGACACTTTTGGTATCTGCTTCAGAAAACTACAACAAAACTTAAAGTGTGCATTATCAATTCAGTAAGTTTCCTTTTTTTTTTCTATTCCATTTTTAAATACTTTTTTAAAATATATACTTCTAGTTCCAGCTTTTTGCCAGAAATATTCTATTTTTATTTCATTTTATTTTATTCTGTTTTTATTTATTATTTTTTGTAAATTATTATTTTTTGGTTCACACTGATTATGATACATTTGGTGACAGTTTTAAAACTTAAAGTGTACAATATCAATTCAGTATGTTCTATTTTTGTCCTGTATGATATATATATGGCATATACATATATTTATATATATATATATATATATATATATATATATATATATATATATATATATATATATATATATATAT